CATGAAGCTTATTTTGAAACAATGCAAGTTCAAAACAATATTTTGTGTGTGTATATATATATATATATATATATACTGCCACCCCTAAAAAATCCCTGCCCCCCCTCTTGCCACCCCATAAATATTTTTCTAGATCCGCCCCTGCCAGTCGTTGAAATCAAAGGTTGTTCGATTTTGTTTTAAGACACAAAATAAGAGCTTTCAGCTTTATTTCTTTTTTACCCAGAATGGATAGGAAGAAACTTTTAAAGGTAGTTCTATTTTCTTCATGTTTAAATCATGGCTAACATGAACCATGCAACCAAATCTGTGAACCATCATTTACTGTGACTTTAGGAGGCGCTATTTCTCCTTTGATCCGCCCTTACATTGTAATAAAAGAATGTCTAAAACACACAACACAAGTACAAATGTTGTCCAAAACCAGCAGTTAAAAACCAAGCTAAATAATAGTAGTAATATAGTGATATAAGCATAATTTGTAATAGAAGAATATGAGATGGTTCATAAATTAATCTGCTGATCTTGCAGATGAAATATATGATTTGTTTTATATGTGGCTGAAGCTAAAAGGGAAAAAAAAAGTTAAGAGAGGATAGTTTATTAAGTGCATCAGAGGTTTTAACTCTTTGATTTAAGGCAATTTCTGTTAACTGTTCAACATATGTTTCACATGGAAGCAGTGAGCTGTATCCAGAAAATGGAAACGATGAGAATGAATCACAGCAACTTGCTTTCTCACATTAAAATGTTTTGCACAATTTTCTGGATTGTTTATAATAACAGGTCACACTGTGAAATATTCATAAAACAGTTTTTGTTTTTTGTTTTTTGCCGTTAAAAATATTTATTTTAAATACTGACTTTTTGGGTCAAGCTGGCTTCATTTGTTGCATTGTAATTCCTGTTTGTCTGCAGATGACCAGAAAACATTGATTGCACACCAAAGTGGAGAAACTTGTAAGTCTTTGTATTTCTCTGTCAGGCGTTTTTTTTCTTCTTTTATTACAATGAAAACATGCCAGTGGTCTAACTTTGCTTTTTGTAATAATAACGCACATTTTGTTAGGACATGCGTCCAGTTTAGAAAAGCTTTATATGCGTTGGTTTAAATGAGAGCTTCAGAGCTTCAATTAGATTTTATCTGGAAGTCCATCCCAAAGCCTCACAAAGGAAAATGAATTGTTTTTCTTATTTTTTCTATTCTTTTGTTACACTTCTATGTTTTTTATTTCTTCTTAGACTCCAACGTTGTGCCTCCAGGAATCCATGTGTATCCATTCTCCTTTCAATTCCCTCTCCAGTAAGAATCAGTTCTAATTATTGTTGTTGTTTAAGTTATTATTAAGGTTACACTGTTCTACATATGCATTATGTTGTGGTGGGGTTAAATAAGGAACTTGAATTAATATACCATACCACACGTTCTTTTTTTTTTTTTTTTTTTTTTTTTTTTTTTTTTTGCTTGTCACTGTTAAACGTGTCTTTCATTACACCATTTATAAAAAAATTAAGAACAAAAAGTGATTCTCACTGTTATCTGTCTCCATGTTTTTCCTCGTTAGGAATATTCCCTCCACCTTTAAAGGTGCAGACGGTAAAATTGTGTACTTGCTGGAGGCTGTTTTGAGCAGGTCGATGAGGATGGACAGCAAAGAATCAACCATGATCAACTTTGTGGCAAAAGGAGATCTGAACCCAGTTTCTGGATTAATGGTATTTTTGACATCTGTGCCATGTTCCGTCTCTTTAGATGTCAGGGGCCTGATGTACGAATACTTGAATTAATTTGGTACAAAAACATGCTGCATGCTTAAATCAAGAAAATGTGCACCGACTAATCCAGATTTCCCAAGACACGTGTCCAAGCACACTCCTTTTGTATATTCAAATCAGTGTGAATTTGAGAACATATGAGGAAATGCCAGGCAACCACAATGTTAATAGGTTCACATCAACCTTATGAAATGATTGCGCTTTTAGCTGTGTGTGTGCAGTTAGCAGCTTCAGTCGCATTTGGAAAAGTGTCTCTTGCTGCAAACGATACCTTAATGTCTGCTTGTACAACAACGCTACTTGGATTGACCAGGCTGACAAATGGTTTCTGAGCATGCCGTGCTGTGACTGGCCACAGTCCCAAGCACAGATCCAACATGATTGCTGTAGAAAACCTAAACAGCTGGTGAGTCTGGTATTTTGGACCAGAAGGTTCTCTTGTAGGGTATTTTAACTTGTACATATAAAGAACCAAACAGAGTACTATCTTTCAGCCTTTGCAAAGGGAGAGAGTCACAGCGGTGCCTCAGAACAACTCCAACTTGCCTCCTTGCAGCAGCCTGGTTTTATTGAAAGCAGGGTGAGGGTCAGTCATAAAACAGAAACTTAAAGATAAGAAATAGAGGGTTCCCTCTGAACGAGCTGAAACCAGTTTCTCCAAGAACAGGATGGACCACCTCACCCTGTTTCAAGACAAACAAGTTATTCATGAGATAACTATTTGCAAAACTCTGACACCTCTCATACTTTTAATGTAGTTTTTTCCCCCCCTACATAGTGCCTTTAGCAATATCAACTAATTGAGTTGAAGCCTTTGTCAATAAAAGGCATTTTCTACATTCCACATCCTTTTAATATGAACTCATCCAATTGTACAGACATAGGTCTATGGTTATTCACCTCGGTTTTACTTACTGTACATTTCCACAACACTAAAAGTTTGCCAGTATATGCTTTGAG